TACCCGCGTTGACCGGGTTGGGTCGGGTGGGTACCCGTGGGTTCGGGTTTTGTTGCCATCCCTACTCTTTATGCAATTAATTTACAGCAGGATTTTTTTGAGGGAAAGGAGGGAGCGCACCTCCTGTAGTTTATTAATTATGCCAAATGGCTCAAATCAGAGTACAGCTCATTCAAAATGAATGAGGGGGGAGAACCTAACCAGCTATTACAATCAAAAACATTCATAGAATAGTGAGCTATCTTATGTGCTACTGCATTTCCTTCTCGGTTGGTGTGCTTCCAAGCCCTGCAGTCGCGCATCCCCTCTGAATTCCAAATCATCTGACATATAGTCCCTAACTCTGATAGATCCTCACTCTGTTTTTTCAACCTGTTTATAAGAACAAGACAATCCGATTCAATCTCATAAGGCCCCAAATCCCTCTCATTCATCTGCTCCAATGCGAAGAGGATGGCCCTACCTTCAGCAATCGGTGGACTCCAATTTTCCGCCTCCCTTCTTGCAGCTGCAAAAACAAACTCCCCTGTCCAATCCCTTACTACCATCGCGAGGCCTGTTCCTTCGTTTCCAAGGCACCCTGCATCCGTATTCACCTTCAGAACCCCCACACTTGGTGGTTCCCATACAATTCTTCTTCGGGTCAGACCTTCCCTCTTCACCTGCAACTTTTCCTGCTCACTCTTATATTCCCTGAACATAGCCTCTGCCTTTCTCGCAATGTCCTCTTCCTCAAGCTTAGGGCCATTGAATACTTGATTATTTCGTTCCACCCAAAGAAGCCACAGCAAACAACATATTCCTCCAACCGTGTCCTGGTCTGCAGTGGTAAGGACTCTGTTTAGCCATACCTGTACCGTCTCTTCTTCATTGTGGTTGCATCGGTCCATCCATGATGATCTTCGCCAGATCCGCCTTGACCAAGCACACTCCATAAATCGATGCAACTGGGTCTCGGCCACTCCACAGTAGGGGCAGTCCGCATTGATCCTGTCCTTTAGTTTCTTCATGAGGTTCACATTAGTTGGGAGAATATCGTGCATCACTTTCCATAGGAAATACCTCACCTTCGGCTGCACTTGCGTCTTCCAAAGGGCTGACCAGTCACACGCTAAAGGAGCTTGGGGCGCCTCCTCTTCTTGATCATCAACTTCTGGCTCTTCAGGAGGGTCTTCCACCGCCAGCTTATATCCCGTGCTAACTGTATACTTGCCATCGGTTGTGTAGTCCCAGCATCTGACGTCAGCTTGCGCATTCCGGGGGATTGGAATGGCTCTTATTGCCTCACACTCAGCAGGGGAGAACAATAACTCCAGCAAGTCCCTGCGCCATTCTCCAGATACGTGATCAATAAGATCTATCACCCTTTCCATCCCCATTCTGCCTTGAGGCCCCAGCAAGGGCTTATTACCTTCAAGTCCCGGCACCCATTTATCATCCCATATACGAATGCTCGTTCCATTACCTACCCGCCACCTGCTTCCTCTACATACAAGGTCCCGAGCGGACATCAAGCTTCGCCAAGTATAACTCGGCCTATGACCCATCCCTGCCTCCAAGATCGACGACTGCGGGAAGTACTTAGCTTTGAGAATCCTGCCGATAAGGGAGTTTGGATTTTGCTGAAGTTGCCACACTTGCTTAGCGAGGAGAGCTTTGTTGAACGCCTCCAGCTCTCGGAGACCCATTCCTCCTGCTGCCCGCTCCTTCCCCATAAACCTCCAATTCTTCCAGTGGATTCTGTTTTTCCCTCCACTATCACCCCACCAGTAGTTTGAAATCACACTATTTATCTCTCGGATGAGACTAGCTGGAAGTTTAAATACAGACATCACAAAATTTCCTTGAGCCAAAGCCACTGCTTTAATGAGCACATCCTTCCCTGCTGTCGAGATCATCCTTCCTTTCCACCCTTGTATCCTGTCTCTTATCCGCTCCTTGATGTAAGCAAACACCACTTTCTTGGATCGCCCCACAACCGTTGGTAGTCCCAGATATTTTTCATGTTTTGAGACTTCTCGGATGCCCAGGTGCTGCGCTATCTCCGTCCTCCTTTGCTGCCCCACATTGTTACTGAACGTCAACTCCGATTTCCCCAGGTTAATCATCTGTCCCGACTCTCTTTCATAGTCAGCTAGAATTTGCTTAATCTTTGCGCTTTCTTGATGACACGCCCTGGCAAAGAAAATACAATCATCGGCGAACAGTAGATGTGAGACTGAAGGCCCCTTTTGACTCACATTGATTCCATGCCAACTTCCTTCTCTTTCTGCCTTCTCTATCATTGATGACAGTCCCTCTGCGCACAGCAAGAATAAGTATGGTGAGATCGGGTCTCCCTGCCGGAGACCCCTGCTGGGTGTGATAGATCGAGTCTGGTGACCATTCACCAGAACTGAATATGTTACTGTAGACACGCATTCCATAATCATGTTGATCCATTGCCTCTCAAAACCCATCTTCTCCATAACCCTCCTCAAGAAATGCCACTCTACCCGGTCATATGCTTTCGCCATATCCAACTTCGCTGCAAAGAAACCTCGCTTCACCCTTCTGTCCTTCTTCTTCATGGCGTGGAAGCACTCGAACGCAGCCAGAACATTATCAAAGATCGACCTCCCTGGAACGAAGGCACTCTGAGTTTCCGAAATCAGTTTGTGAAGGATGGTTCTAAGCCGATTCGCCAAAACTTTTGATAGGATTTTGTACGAAACATTACACAAGCTTATCGGCCGATAATCCTTCGGCGACTTTGGTCTCTTCACCTTTGGAATCAGGCAGATCAGAGTCCGATACATCTTTGGAGGTAGTTTTCCTTCTGCGAGAGCTTGAAGAATTTCCCCAGTCACTTGCTCTTTGACCACTTCCCAATTTCTTTTATAGAACATTGCCGGGAAGCCGTCCTCCCCGGGGGCCTTTAACGCTCCCATATGTCGTAACGCCTCCTCAATTTCCTCCACTGTAAATGGCCTCTGTAGCCAGTCGTTCATCTCCGAGGAGACTCGTCGAGGGATTGTACTAGTGACAGTTTCCCTACCCTCATCTCCCTGACTCTCAAACATGTGTGAGTAGTAATCAACCAAGCAATCACTGACCTCATTTTGACCCAGCCACACTCGCCCATCTTCACTGATAAGCTTCCTGATCGTATTCCTCTTCTTCCTTTCAGTCGCCCTCCTGTGGAATAAATTCGAATTCTTATCCCCATAGCCCAGCCATGATATTCTCGATCGTTGGTGCCATTTCTTCTCCTCTTGAACAAGGATCCCAGCTCGTTCTGCCTCCAGAGTGCGACTTTCCTGGATCCAATTCTCTCCTCTAGGTTTTCGTTCCAGCTCCGCTAAAGATTTCTCCACCGCTTTCAACCTCTCCTTCCAGCTTCCAAACTTCTCCTTGCTCCACTCGTGTAATTTCTGCTCGCAAGCCCTCAACCTCTCCGTCGTCTCCAGCGAACTACATCTTTCCCACTCCTCCGCCACTATCTTCTTGCATTCCTCCTCATCATCCCAATACGATTCGTACCTAAACCTCCACCCCCATCGAACAGGTTCGCCCTCCATCCCCTCTGTATCCAGAATCACTGCTCTATGGTCAGAATAGGGCCTGTCGTGATGTCTTACCTGAGCAAATGAGTGGGCTTGGGCCCATTCCTGGTTACAGACCGCCCGGTCCAGTCTTTCTTCAGTAAAGTCCTCCCCTGTCCGAGCATTGTCCCAGGTAAATGGGTACCCGACAAAACCCAGATCCTCCAACTCAGTATCCGATAAGGCATTAGCAAAGGCCTGCATATCCCTTTCGTCCTCCAGCCTCTTCCCTCTCTTCTCATTTCCAGAAGCTACCTGGTTAAAGTCTCCCATAACCACCCAAGCCATGCTCATCTGATTATATAGGCTTCTCAAAAGATCCCACGATCGACTCTTATTCTCCCCTTCCGGCCATCCATAAAACCCCGTAAAGCGCCACTCATGTTCGCCATCCTCGTACTTGATAACTCCGTCAATATGATTTTGAGACATAGATTTCAGCGTAAAATCAACATTGCTGTCCCATAATAAGGCTAATCCTCCCGCAGTATTCCTTGCTCCCACTCCAATTCCATTTCGAAATTGAAGTCGTCGTTTTATCGTCTCCCACTTCTCGCCCGCCAATTTTGTTTCCATTAGAAATACCATCTGGGGATGAACTCGTCTTACGAGTTCGGAGAGGGAAAATAATAATTGATTTCTATAGGAGTCCCTTTATAAATTGGTATATTTATTTTAAATGCAAACTCAATCAAGAATTTGTTCCCTTGTGTGAATATTGCCATGTATCTGATGTGATTCAAACGTTTTTTTTTAAATCTTCACACTAATGATATGTTGGCAAAATTACTTAATAAAATATAAGAGGATCTATATATTTGGATTTTTAAATGTTTGGTGGGTCGTGGCTCAACCCCATTCCATCAATTCATACGATGTTCGGTGGGTAATCTGTTTTGAAACCCACATCCATCCACAATGTAATGACAGTGTTAAAGTGTGTGGTTCAAGTGAATTTTTCGGTCAAATCACTTAATGCTCTTCGATAATATTGTCGTGCCTATATAAATCGTTTTCATTGGTGTGCCACATATCTAAACAGATGAAATTTATCGTTTTTGACGAATTTCTCTATCATATATATATATTTTTTTTTACATTAAACCACTATCAAGTATCAATGAGAGGAGAAGATCATATCCTTACACAAATACTCTATAAACTACGAAACCAAGAATCATAGTCGAACCTCCACAACTTCCGAGGGACAAACGCATAGCAGGCCACTAAATTAGTTGGCCTCCAACACCGCATTCTATATAGGCCCAAGGCCCAAATCTGAAAATTATGAAGTCTGGACCTCGCATGTTTCTGTCAAGGCCCATTTTCAGGCCCGCCGGAGTCGGCAATTTCCCCTTTCCCCATGTGTTGCTTCTCCACCATTATCGAGCACCTCGAACTCGAAAAGTCCCGGGGGAAACAGAGACAGAAACCCAGAATCCGGAAACCACTGGCGGCAGGCCGGCAGCCAATACTTTTTCGGAAACCGTCAAATTCCTGAACTTTTATTCTTTTGTTACTTCCGCCCTTCCCCGACAATGCACCGCCATTGCTAAGCGCTCTCTCTCTCTACTTCTTTCCTCCTATATCAACTTCAGAAAGCAATAACAAAAATGGATTCTTTCTTCACGACCACGGACGTTATTCTTCCCTCCGGTTTGCATAACTACGAATGGCAGCGCAATTCGGCGGGCACACTCACCGCCACCACAACCACGGCCACGGCGTATCTACAACTAAGCTCGTCTTTCTTTTGATGTTCGTTTGCCTTTTACTTACTGCTCTGGTAGCCGATGCCTTCTGGGCATCTTCTTCTTCGGTCTCTTCAGCTTATCGATCAGTTGCTTCCATTTGGGTTCTTGAGAAACCTAATAGCAACAAGTATGTGGTACCTGCTCCCTTTGATCACAACAGTTCCAAGGTTTTGCTCTGTGCCGGATTTTCATTCAATTTCATTCTTAAGCTTGTTTTTGCGGTCTGGGTTGTGATCAAAATTGAATCTCTTGGCAGGAAGGAGAGCATGGGAGGGTTTTATCAGCGACATTTGCTGATCTATCGGCTCCTGAGTTGGATTGGGAACAAATGGATTCAGCTCCTGTGCCTCGACTTGATGGGTACTCGGTTCAAATCAATGATCTTCTCTATGTTTTTGTTGGGTATCGCAATCTTGACAATGTGAGTTTGCTGCTTACTGCTTGGGTTTCTTTTGGTTTATGTGGCAATGGCTGATGATTCATTTGTGATGCACTGTATTGTGTTAGGTGCATTCCCATATAGATGTGTTCAATTTGAGTGAGAACAAATGGTCAGACAGGTTCGATACGCCTAGAGAGATGGCGAATTCCCACTTGGGAGTGGCGACTGATGGGCGATTCGTGTACATTGTCTCGGGCCAGAAAGGTCCTCAATGCAGAACAGCCATAACTCTTAGTTACTCTCTGGACACTAAAACAAAGCAATGGAGCAGCTTGCCTCGGTTACCAGCTCCCAGGTTTGTATGGTAGCCTTCATGACTAGTTTATGATGTGCTGATGAACTATTGAGGAGAAAGTTCATGAACATGATTCCTTTTCTTTCAGGTATGCTCCAGCCACACAGTTGTGGAGAGGGAGGCTCCATGTGATGGGTGGAAGCAAGGAGAATCGCCATACTCCTGGAGTTGAGCACTGGAGCATTGCTGTGAAGGATGGCAGAGCTTTGGAGAAGGAATGGCGAAGCGAGGTGCCTATCCCTCGTGGTGGACCACACAGGTAACTAATTATCTTTTGGCAGTAACCAACTTGAATGATCCATAAGACAGGAGAAGCTTGTGCTTCACAGTATTAGATTATTCATATATGGTGCTTTCTTTCTTGGATCAGGGGTTGTGTGGTAGTACATGATAAGCTCTTCGTAATTGGTGGCCAGGAGGGTGATTTCATGCCCAAACCCAACTCACCCATCTTCAAATGCTCTCGAAGGAAAGAGGTAAACGATGATACAATCATCAACCAAGAAGCTTGTTCATTGTACTTTGTGGAGCTTATGCACATCTCTGGGAACGTTTCAGGTGGTTTATGGTGATGTTTACATGCTCGACGGTTCCATGAAGTGGCAAACTCTGCCACTAATGCCGAAACCAAACTCTCATATCGAGTGCGCGTGGGCAGTGGTGAACAATTCAATCATCATTGCTGGCGGCACAACAGAGAAGCACCCTCAAACCAAGAGGATGATGTTGGTTGGGGAAGTCTTTCAGTTTCATCTTGACTCACTGGTAATTCATTCCTCCTCTTTCCATTTGTGCACGTATGACTTCGGTCTTTAAAGGATCTTTCATTGCTGAAATTTCCAGAGCTGGTCAGTGATCGGAAAGCTTCCTTACCGGGTAAAGACGGCCCTTGTTGGGTACTGGGATGGATGGCTGTACTTTACATCAGGGCAGAGGGACAGAGGACCTGATAATCCTCAACCCCAGAAGGTCATTGGAGAAACGTGGAGAACCAAACTACATCTGTCTTGAAGGTTGGTATTTACCAAGGCAGAAACTAGTGTGAGTTTATAGCTTTTGTGGCATGTTTAGTCAATTGGAATTACCTCATATTGCACGTAATGAATGATCTTAGAACTAGTTGGTTTTATAGTAATTCGATTTGTTTTAAGAGGTTCAAGAATAGGCTGACCAATCCCTTTAACAACAATCTTTGAGCTTCGAGTTAGTAAATCAGATGTAGATATTTGAGTTATCAAGATTCAAATCTCTAGCATTGTCAAAAACTCTAATACAATGTTAAGAATAATTTCCTTTCAAAAACTTCAAACATGCTCAAAGTCCAAAAAATAGAATTTATGCCATTCCATTTCACAGTGTGCAAACTATCGAGGAAGTCAACTCATGAGGATCTAGCTAGTAGCTACCAACTATCGATCAATCATCATGGTTATGGTGACTTCGTTGGTCGTACAAAATTCCGAGCCACTGATGCTTGAGCTTCCCTCATTTTTTCTAGGTCTAGTCATTGTAAAGCCTGGTTGTTCTGGTATGGGTAATTGTGTAATGTTACTAGTTAACATTGATATTACTCTTGACATTTTCGGCCTATCATATGCCTCGTATTCTATACAATGCAGTGCTACATTGATGCATCGAAGAGTAAGGAATTGGGTGGTGGTCTGCTGCGTTTGTGGGCCGCAGCCATTGATGAGATCAGGAACTTCGAATTCTTGATTTTGCAGATTAAAGTTGATGACTGACGAGAGATTAAGGAGGTGAAGGTTAAAACGGTCAACCAATTACGACAAGACCATGTCCATGTGTCTCTCTACAAAGAAATGTATTATTGTTGTCAATCATTAATCTATGGTTATCACTTCAAGAAATCATTCCAGGTTAGCTAATGGTTTTGTAATTATGTGGAAAGGGGACATCATCAAGCTACTTGGTTCAGAAAATCTGCAAAACAGATCCATTATTGTATCTATTCTAACAAAAATATTATGCATCCAATTCAGTTCGAACATTTACTGTTCTTACAAATATGAACTTGCATCGTTGGATCATATGATTCATGAGTACATATCATTTACCTAGTTACATGTAGAGCGAGGAAAAAGAATAATGCTACATACTGACTTCCTCCGGCTTGTTACTGAGGATTCAATGTCGATATTGCGACTTCATTGTCCGAAAAGATCTTTGGGTTGCCAGTGCTTGAGCTTTCCTCCACACAAATGCTACCTGGACTCGCAATTGTGTATGCTGGCTGTTTTGGATTGGGCAATTGTGCAGCTTCGCTAGTTAACATTGAGATTACTTGCGACATTGTTGGCCTATCATTGGCATCTTGTTCTATGCAGAGTAGCCCTACATTGATGCATTTGAGGACAAGGTTCTTACAAGTACATGAATCCTCCAAAGCTGGATCCATAAACTCTAACGCAGTCCCTTCTTTCCATAGCTTCCATGCCTGGACAAGAACATGAAGATCAAGTTGGATTCAGAAGGACTCCATCAATTGTCTTTCTTACTTACAACTTCAACAGAAAAAAGAACAAAACCAGCAACTTACATATCCGACAAGGTTGACTGGGGGATCCAATTGAATAAGGCCATAGTTCTTCCGGCTGCTCACGATTTCCAGCAGCATTACTCCGAAACTAAAGACATCTGACTTGGTGGAGAAAGTGCCATGCATGGCGTACTCTGGAGACATGTAACCACTGCACAATGTCGTTTGATGTAAGCTGCTAACTTCAAGTATAGTAAGGAAAGTGAAGAGTGGAGGACTTGAGGGGGAACTACTTACTATGTCCCTACGACTGTGTTTGTGTTACCTTCCAATGCATTAGTTTTGAAAATACGCGCCATTCCGAAATCTGAGATCTTTGGGTTGAGATTTTCATCCAGCAATATATTACTAACTTTCAGATCTCTATGCACGATTCTTACTCTAGAATACTTGTGAAGGTACAACAATCCATGAGCTATTCCTTCAATGATGTTGAACCGCTTACTCCAATCTAGAAGTAACTTATTTGATTCGTCTGTGTCATGTGCAGAAGAGAAACAAACACATAAACTTCAATCAAAACTACGTGGTTGAATGAAGGAGCTCCTATTTATGATGTAGCAGCATATTTTCAGCTTACCAAAGATAAAAGAATCCAAGCTCTTGTTGGGCATATATTCGTACACCAACATTTTCTCTTCTCCATGGATGCAGCAACCCAGCAGCCTGACAAGGTATTTGTGCTGCAACTTCGCAATGAGTATAAGCTCGTTTCTGAATTCAACCAAGCCCTGGTCGGAACTTTCGGACAATTTCTTCACAGCTATTTCTCGTCCTTCAGGTAGTTTTCCCTAAGACATTAATGACACCATCCACCCCATGTTTAGAAGCTCAAGTTGAACCGCAATCCAAGGTAGAAATGTAGTTGGCATGGATGTATGATATGAAGTTACCTTATATACAGGTCCAAAACCTCCTTGTCCAAGTTTGTTTTGATGGGAGAAGTTATCAGTAGCAGCAATAATCGACGCCATGGTATACATTTTCAAATGGTGGCCAGGATTGCCATCATCCCCTACCTTGTCTTTGTCACTTCGATCATCAGCCCCCATCAACTCTGCTAGAAGTCTCTCTGCATACAACAGCAGCCGCGAGTGTTATCATAGACCAACTCGAAGTTAGCAACAAGGACGGCAGTAATAAACATCCAAAATCACGAACCTTTGAGATTACGTCTTCTTCTGTGCCAAAATATGAAGATTGTGACCATCACCAGACCCCCTGCTATGGCCACCGAAACCCCTATCCACTTATTCCGGGTTGCAACTGGAGAGATAACACAGCCACTGTTGTCAAGCAATTGTTTTGAAAGCAGTAAATGCACAAAAATGATACGATTCTAAAGCTTACTTGAGCGATGGGCATCAATTGTTCCGTAAGCTTCTCTATCAATGACATAGTACAGGGCTTGATCGGAACCCGACACGTCAGTGAAGTCCCCATACTCTACAATCTTGCATGAAGTGCCATCACCAGGAAAGTAGGTTGTAGTGCCAAGACATTTACAGTTTGTCCAGCAGATGTTCTTGCAATCACTGATGCTGAGATTAGAATCAAACCTGCTCCCATTCGGAAAACTGTTCATAAACCCACCACGTCGTGCCACAAACTTGTCGCCGTTGTTGGATCGGCACTCAGGGCCATCCCATCTCAGACACCCATTTTCCGTCCTGTTCCCATCGCAGAATTCAGAGTCCAGAATGGTCTTGTTGATGCTTGGGGCCTCAATTACCCCGTCGTATCTCAATCGCCAGAAGCTGAAAGAATTATTTTTGCCGGTTGAAGAAGTAGCTGAGAGGGTCAGGTAATCCTCGCCGCCGGCAGGATTGGAAACCCGAGAAATGTTGAAATCTAGTTCTCTTCCCCTGAGGTCGAGATTCTGGAACCTGCTGGGACCCAATTGCTTGCCACTGGTCCAGAACACCGCGCCTCGTCGCTTCATCACGAGCTCTTCCTTCCCGGCGGTGGGATCCCACTCCAGAGTGAAAGCACCCGGCGACGGGTTGGTGAAGGTCAGCCATGACGTCAGCTTCCGATTCTGGCCGCCGTTGACCACCCCTAATTTCATCCCGGGGAGCCACGAATCAGTTGGTGAGTCGAAACTCTCCCACAGCAAGTTCCCGCCATCAGCATCCCTCACGGAGAAACTGCCGGTGTCCTCGAGCTGCGCGATCAATTTCTGCCTCCGCAGGCGACTGTTGGAGTATAGCTCGACGGCGGGAACGCCTGAGGAAGATGTGAGCTGTAGTGTGCCATTTTGATCAAGGGTTAGAGCCGTCGAATTGTCGACGACCCACCATCCGTCGCCTTCTGAATCGGGGAATGGGGAGCCGCGATTGGCTACCCAGAAGAAGCTGCCGTCGACGTACGATATGCCGAGGTAGGTGCCCTTATCGTGGAGGAGCTCTCCTTTTTCTGGGCCGAGCCAGCGGAAGCCCAAGGTGAAGAGCCCGTTTAGGGAGACGAGGTTGGAGGTGGAATTTAGGGCTGGCCCACCTTGGGTCAGAGTAGTAACGTTAGCCGCCTGCGGATTGGAACACAGCAGCAGAAGAATGGGAAGAAGAAGAAGACGAAGAAAGGGTTTGCCTTGTTGGATTGCCGCCATTAGATTAGAATCTAGAAATGAAACCAACTTCCCAATGGTTTTAACGTACCTCATAAAAGGCAAGTCAACGGTGGGCGAAGAAGAGAAGCTTTCGGTCTTCTTTCTTTGAACCATAAATATGGCACATGATGAATGATTGGGTCTACAGAATAGCCAAGTCAAAAATTCACACACTAAAAGCTGACTAACTTGCACCATCTTTGTCATCTACCACTGATATTTGTTATGGTGACTTTATTGTTTGAGCAGGTTTCCGATTCTCCGGTGCTCGAGCTTTCCTTGGTGCTTCTTGGTCTCATCATCGTGACTGCCGGTTGTTTTGGCATGGGCAGTTGCAGGACTTCACCGGTTATCATTGATATTACCTCTGGCATTGCTGGTCTATCGTATGCATTGTATTCTATGCAAAGTAGTCCTACATTGATGCATCTAAGTACTTGGTCTTCATTAATACATGAAGACTTCAGAGTTGGATCCATCAACTCTATTGGGGAGCTTTCTTTCCACAGCTTCCATGCCTGCAGGTACATTTTTAACAAGGGAAACAGTTGGTTTTCAAGAAAGGTTCCTCTTTCCTTCTATTGCAGCTTAAAAGTGCCTTGCATCTCAGAATTCTAGCTTTAGTTACGTTTAAGGTTTCAACAAGAAGGCAAATAACTTACATAGCCCACAAGGTTGATAGGGGGATCCACTTGGATGAGACTGTAGTTCTTCCTTCCGCTCACAATTTCCAGAAGCATAACTCCGAAGCTGAACACATCAGATTTAGTGGAGAAATTGCCGTCCATGGCATACTCCGGAGACATATAGCCACTGCATAGTTCGATCATAAGTAAGTTTGTTAAATCTAGACATGCTGTAGAAAGTGTGCCGAGTGGTGAATTTGGAGAAAACTCTTACTATGTTCCAACGGGTCTGTTTGTATTAGCTTCTGTTGCATCCGTATTGAAAATACGCGCCAGTCCAAAATCCGAGATCTTCGGGTTCAGATTTTCATCCAGTAATATGTTACTAATTTTCAGATCTCTGTGTATGATTGTCACTCTCGAGTACTTGTGAAGGTACAACAAACCCTGAGCTATTCCTTCGATGATGTCCAACCGCTTATTCCAATCCAACAATACCCTCTTCGATTCATCTGCTGCAAGTGTAAATGTGATAGACGAACACAAACTTCAACATTGCTGCATAAAAGTCGAAGTGCAGAAAGAAAGAATAACACAGTTCATTATACTGTAGCAACTAGGACTTACCGAAGATAAAAGAATCTAAGCTCTTGTTGGGCATATATTCATACACCAACATCTTCTCTTCTCCATGGATGCAGCAACCCAGAACCCTCACCAGGTTTGTGTGTTGTAACTTTGCTATGAGTATAAGCTCGTTTCTAAATTCAACCAAACCTTGGCTTGATCTTTTTGACAATTTCTTCACTGCTACTTCTCGACCTTCCGACAACTTTCCCTAAGATCATAAAGATGTCCATCCTCACTTTAGAGTTGGACATAACCATCATTTAGTTTGCAGGGATGTAATAATCATGACTTCATAGAGTTACCTTATATACAGGTCCAAACCCTCCTTGTCCAAGTTTATTTTGCAGCGAGAAGTTATCAGTAGCCACTATGATTGATGCTATGCTATAAATTTTCAAATTGTGGCCTGGATCGCCATCATCCCCTATCTTTTCTCCAACATTTGCTGCATCATCAGGGGCCATCAACTCTGCTAGAAGTCTTTCTGCATTCAACGATAAGCAGAGTGTTACCACAAATCAACTTGAAGACAGAAACTGGAAGGCTGACTCTGTTAGCAAAGAACGTTAGAGTAATCACAAACCTCTGAGTTTGCGCCTTCTGCAGTACAAGAAAACGCAAATGACGACCACACCAAGAACCCCCACTGCAGCAAATGAAACCCCAATCCGAACTGCAACTGGAGATCAGAAAAGACAAACCCCCACGCTCACCATTGGAAACTTGATAATTGAAGGAAAGTAAAGCAAGATCAGAGAAAGCAAATGATACCGTTTGAAGGACGGGTGACAGGTTTTCCATAAGCTTCATCAACAATGACATGATACATGTCCAGAAATCGACTGGTTTCAAATTCTGCAAATCCGCCAGACCCATAGAACAACTGACATCCAGTGTCATTCCCATTGATCCCAAAACCATCAAAGAGGTCGACGCGAAGCCCGCCGCATTCACAGTCGTTCCAGCACATTTCGCGGCAATCGCTGAAACTGAGGCTGCCATTCTTGACCTCCTTCCAGGACCCGCTCCTGAACCCACCTTCCAGCTCCATGAATCTGTATCCGCCATTCCTACTCCGGCATTCGGGTCCCTCCCATTTAAGGCACCCGTAATCGTTCTTGGTTTCACCGTCGCAGGGTGACCCGATTGTGAAACTCCCGAAGGATTGGTCCTCGAAATCCCCTAAGTGGGTGAGTCGAAAAATCCTGGGAGCTTCTAGGATCAAGTAATCCTCTGCGGCATTGGAAACGCGAGACGCGTTGAAATAGTTCTGAACCAAGGTACCGCGGAATGAGTAATTGGGAGATGAAGACGACGACTTGCCGCTGGCCCAGAACGCGGTGCCTCGCCGTTTCACCACCAGCTGCTCGCCGGCGGGATCCCACTCCAGCGTGAAAGCCCCGCTCGCCGGGGTCAAACGGGTCATCCATGACGTCACCGTTTGGTTTCTACCTCCGCTGACCATCCCCAATTTCATCCCCTGCAGCCACGAATCGGCAGGGTGATCGAAACTCTGCCACAACAGTTCTCCAGAATCATCATCCCTCAGAGCGAAATTGCCCGTGTCTTCTAGTACCGCGACCAATCTCTGCGGCCGCCGGCTGCGGCTGTCGGAGGTGTAAAGCTCGACGGAAAGGCCAGCGGAGTGTGTGAGCTTAAGGGTTCCATTTTGGTCCAGAGTAAGCTGTCCCGAGTCGTCTGGTATTGGGGAGTCGCGGTTGGCTACCCAGCAGAAGTCGGTCGAGTTGCTGTTCCGGATCCCGAGGTAGCTGCCGTTGGAGTCTGGGTAGCCGAGTCGCCGGAATTCCAAAGTGAATTGGCCGTTTGGGGAGACGAGGGCGGAGGAGGAATTCAGGGCCGGCCCGTCTTGGGTCAGAGTACTGTTGTCGCTGGCAGCTAGAGAACTAGAAAATAATAGCAGAAGAATGGTGGGGATGATGATGAGACTGGGAAGAAGAAGAAGAAGGTGTTTGCGTTTGCCTGCTGCTGATGAGTTGCTTCCTTGGGTTGCAGCCATTAGAATTCCATGGTAATGGAATGGGGTTGAGAGGAGTTTTTCTTTTTACATATAATTAGTGGGTACGCTTTTTGCCCAAATCTTCTATGTACTGTTTCAATTCTTGGCGTTTAGTGAGCTCTAGGCTGAAAGAGTCTTCTTGCCCCTTTTCCCAATCCCTCGCACTGATGCTGAAAAGAAGACACCCTATCCATGTCCTGTCAAAACCAAAAGAAAAGAGATGACTTCCACTGTTCCACAAGTACCAATGAACTAACCCTACCTTTCACCTTACCTCTGAAAGTAAAAAAACTTCACCTTCCCTCTCCCTTCCCGACAATCCTTCTCCCATACACCTCCTTCTCAAGTCACATCCCTCAATTTTTCTCCCATAACTTCTCTTTTCACTCACCCAATTCCATTACAGGAATTATTCCATCCATACCAATCCGTTTTATCCTTCAGCTCTCTCTTTCGATTCCACCCACTGAGCCAAAAGTTGCAGTGGCAGCAAGAGTGGGAATCCACCATTTTTAGGGTTCACTTTGACTTCTCTGTTGGAGCTTCCCCTCCCTGCAAATATGAAAGTTGTGTTTTGGTAGTATGGCGAGCCTACACAATGGAGAAGACTGACGCAAGTGGAACGATGATGAGCATAAACTCTTCTTCGGTCGTCGGCGACCGGAAATAGCTGCAGGATCAGGCGGACGACAACATACCGACGGCAGAGAGAATTCTCCTACTGGTTCTGGTGGGATTGGGCGTGTCAGCTCTGGTACTGATGCTCAAGAACTCCCCCACCAACAGCTTTTGCAGAGGATGACTGAGAAGAGGTGATCTTCGTTGTTGATTCTATTTCGCGGAATAAGTTCGAATCGTTGATTTATGTGAATATGGAATCGGTGCCTTGCAATGGAACTTTCCTGCCAGAACCACGAAGGTTGGAGATGGAGGAAGGGACCTGACCGGAGAAGCGAGAGAGTACGAGGGTGCGAAGGGCGATTAAGCCGGCGGGTGATTGGGTAGCAGAGACAGAGGTTGAAAGGTGCTTTTTCTCTATTGATTTTCTCGATCTACTCGCTCACTAATTCATTTATCGCTAACATTCTCTAAGACTCAGTGTGTTTCGGTTAAACAAAATCACCAACCTTGCTGCTCCCTATGGGTTCCGAGAGCAGTGTCGGATCTCTATGTAGTTCAAACTTTCATAACCTTTTTATTGGGTTTAATGGATTTGTTCGCTTCGCCTCTCAACTCTGGACCTTTCAGCTTCCATATGAAACTAATTTATTTACCATCATTTGCTTTTACAGGTAAGGACCTGTAATACCTGCAATATAAGCATGATTTTATTGCTGCTAAATTCGAGAAACTTGATTCTCCTACACCTTCGGTACTTACCTGTTCCAGTCCATTCTACAGATCTTTGGAACTCTTCAAGTAGGTGCTGTTAATTCTAATATTGTACTTATTTTGACCAACGTTCTTGCCTATTCTGATTTGGTTTCGTGGTCCCAATGGTAAGGCATTGTGAATTTCTCAAAAACTTGCTCTGTCGCTTTGTTTTATCAAGAGATGCTTTGACTATTAAATTGTCCACATATTTCATTCTTTTCATAGTATTGCAAACCAAAGCAAAGAGTCTGTGCCTGTTGTTAGATCGTAAAATTTGAAATGGATCTTCAAATAAGATCGTATATGAAGCAAGTTCTAAAATTATTAGCAAGCGGTTAAGGTTTAGTGCTTGATCTCTTTGGCATCTGTTGACAGGTTTACTTCTCTTTTACTTTTGAAGTCACTAGGTTATGTCTCTTTTGCTTCTATGTTTCTCTTGCTTCTACATTCTTATAATTGCTCAATATGTACATCATTATGAACCTTGCTGTGTTGTTTGATCTTCTTTAGGCAAAAGAAATACAGAGGTTTGCTGATAATATGGGGCAGCTTGGTAAAGAGGTGAGTTCATTAATAGAATTCCTTTTTCAAATATGCCAACCAATTTGTATACTCTGTTGGCTGCTTTAAGTTTCCAGTTAAGCTTCATGTTGTTTCAAGTCATTCAAATGTTTCTTGAGAATCGTTGGGATAAAATGGTTTGAAACACTAAGCATACTCTTCAATTGACGTACAATTGCTCAAAGTAGCTGGCTGTAGTTATTTCTATAATGGCATGGTTGTTTATTACTTCTTGGTTATGCTTCCTAATGAGTCTAGGATCTTTGCTATAGTATAGCCTTAACAATTTATGTAGTAATCCGCAAATTATAAATAGTATATGTATATTGCTTGCCTTTAACGTTGACATTCAGGTTGTCTGGCTATTAGATGTTGATGGCATTGACATTGATTAAGAACTATAGAATGAAACTGTCCCCTTACAAGCGTTGGAATTGTAGTTCGGTTAATTAAAGGAGGAGAACATTGTGTTCAATTCTGTTCATGTCCTTTCCCTTTTAGTTCTATTCCAATTCCAACCAGTTCTTCCGCACATTGAGTGCATACAGGTTGTCTTTAAAGCTTAACCTGTTATTACTTCTTCAAGGTTTTGACTTAAGTCTTAACCAGTCATGTCTAATATAAAGGTTTGAAAAGGAAGAGATATGGGTCTCAATCAGAATGATTTACTCGAGCTGAAAGTTCCTGTTGGCATTGGTCAGCAGGTTCTTAGTTTTTAGGTTTGAACAAATATTTAATTTGACTAGAATGTGACCTATTATTCTACTTCACGAAAGTGGATATTTACCTCTGCACAATGGTCTGTGAACCTCATGTTAGCATTTTAAATTTTGGATGGAAAACTAGAACACAATACTGCAAATTGGGAATGAACTGTTGTTATTATTTAAAATCCAGAGAACCATATATGTGTATTACTTCTTGATTGGGCAGAGTTATTGCTTATGCCTCTGTTTTTTTTTTCTTTTACCCTTCCACTTAATTTTATTATGGGGTTTAGCAAGCTGATAATAATATACTTTCATTACAGCTTGGTTTGCTCCCAACATTCCCGTCTTGATGTTATATGTATCCCCAAAAGAGAATTTTCCTGTATTCTTTGTTCTACTACTAATGCAACTCATTTGGTTGGATTCTACGAACTGTAGTCAACAAGGAAGAGCCGCTCTTGCCTTGCATGTAACTTGACATGCCGGTGAATGGAGGTGAAGTGGGGATCAAAGTGGAAAGGTGGAAAGGCGTGAGCCCTTGGAGGTGGAAAGTGAGTCGGATTCAAGGTGTAACAAAAATGGAGGACGATTTAGTGGGCTAAAACGAGAATTAGAGGCTTCGAGCTGAGATTGAAACGAGGAATGGTGACTATGAAGAGCTCAAGGACGAGTATGAGATGCTAGAGCTTGAACACAAGACGAAGAAGGCTGAAACTTTTTTTTTAAAGCTAAGAAGGCTTAAACCGTTGTCAAAATTGTCTTTTTTTATATGAATCTCCAAACTGTCTTTCACTAAATGCACTTTTACTCAATTATGTTGGAAATTTACTGTTAATCTAAGCTTTTGATGGGTGATAGGATACAACATCCATAGTTTGGATCATAAACTGATTATATCAAGAAGTTTGGATTGACTCCTCTTTTTGTATTCTCCAAGATTTTGCAACAGAGGTGTTGTTAACTTCGATTGTTTGCTCAAGAGGAATGTCGCATTGTTATTGTAGGTTTTGTTGCAACAGACAAGCTCATTGTTGATGGAGTTGGATTAACTTTCTATGCAGCATTTTCACTTTACATGAATTAGGAGAAGAATCTTTGGCTTCCACTGACACCGCTAGAAATGCATGCCTCAGCTCTGTCATAGATAAGATGTTTACTGTGGAGAATGGTACTGGACAAGACACACAAATGTGGTCAATTCGGTATTTGAGGCCAGTGCCATCGTGGGATCTACTTGCCTTTGTCACCTAGATGTCTTAGACCCAAGGTTAAGGAAACCCTAACGTATAGGCCGATCAGACCGCAAATACTGGATACCGCACCCAAAACGGCAGACGGTTTTAACGTTAGGAAACGGTTCAACCACATTTTTTTTATAAGGGTGATAATATTAAATAAGAGGACGGGAACCAAAAAGCAAAGTTCGAAGTTCAGCAAAGCTAAACTTGGTACACGGTTCAACCACAGTTAAACCACGATTTTAGTACAATATACCCTACCACTCACTTTTTTAGTATAACCTCCGATACGGTTTAATTAACCTTGCTTAAACCATGTTTGTCCCTTTATGATGTCAATATTTTCGTATGTTGGGGCTATAATCCAAAAGCACGTTTTTCTTCAATTTTCAACATGTACAATGGTTATGTACACTCTGCATAGTACAACAACTATTTGTCTTCCAAAGACATGTAGAGTGATTGTTGATTAGTGTTTCTTGCAAATGCATATGTGAAGGTTGACTTATGTTGCTTAGGAGTGCAGCGTTTCACTGTCCAAATTTGCTTGCATACAAATTGATATGTACCTCTCTTTTCCCCTCTTCCCGCCTCTATTTATAGAAGTGCAAATTCATTATCGAAGTGTCAGCAGAGAGGTTAGTTACTTACTCATGAACTTTGTGGCATTGATTATTTGGCTTGCAAGTAGTAATGACAATGTGGCGGGCCAGGTCGGGTACCTCAATTGAAGATGTAAAATCTTTGGGCTCTGCATTTTTTTCCAGCGACCTATTCTTGCCCGCGCCTCTGTGGTTTCATTGCATTGCCTGGTGGTGATGTTATTCTCAGAATAAAATTTTGGCGAAGCAAACTGTAGAATGAACACTGGAACATGCATGAGTCGGATATCGGGAATAAAGATACTATCAATGGAAATAACGAAAATGCGGGTTTGGATGTGCAGTTACAATCGAAAACAGTTGATGGTCTTGGCATGGGGATGATACTAATGCTTCTACCTCATGGCCAAATTGAATACATTATATAAGGTTCATCTATCTATTCATTATTCCAACTAAATAATCTTTTCTGGACTCCCCTGCTAATCAGCTTGGGCGTCGTGAAATTCTTCTTTCCATAGGTAACAATGGATCTTACAACCTCATCACATGTCACCTTCACATCTGACAACGAATACTAGAAGACGACAATAGGGTGAGCAGGACTGGTGGTGGTATTCCGATTGCCCGTAACACAATGAACCTCAATTTGATGTCACTTAACCCAACTACCACACGATCATGTTGCTGCAACTTTAGTTCCCGCGGCGTTGCGTAGCCGCCGCGGGTATTGATTCTAGTATTAATAAAAAGCCAGGTCAATGGTGGCTCGTGATGGGGTCGTTGATTGAGCAAGTTGGCTGAAAATTAAATAATTAGCATAATGGTTGGTGTGGAAGATATATGGTATGAAATATGAATGCACAAATTTCTGTTTTCGTTGTTAAGCACTTTTTGATATGATGATAACAATAATTAATTGTAAGAATAGTTTAAAAAGTAAGCTTAACCTTACACTTAAATAGATTTGGGTGTTAGGCAAAGCTGCTAAAATGCCTCGTTTAGGTGTTCTGCTGCAAATTAGAAATTTCAAACGTCATTTCGACCACACCTAGATTACGTTTAGGTGCTATTAGGCAGAGCTAGCTAGTTAATATCAAAAGGGAGAAATTAACATAATTTACAACTTTAATATTTTCTATCGATCTTTTCAATAACTCAAGAACTTTGTGAACTGCTGAACTATTATTCTATCATAGACGGAGGCAGGCTTCCTATTGGGCCTTGTCACAGGACAAGGGTAAATTTAAGAGGGAAAAAATACTTTATATGCACTTATATTGACGATGAAACACAAGTAAACAACATTTGTAAGTGGTATGAGAATATTTTGTCACTACAACACAACTTATTATTTGTTTATAGATTGACATAAAATTAATTATTATATTAAACAAAATTTCAATAGGAATAAAGACCTAATCGGATCTCTTTTCTCCTTATGCCTATTTGGTTTTCCCCAAGAACCCTCAAATTGTCCGGCTACTACGGCAATTCCACTAGCTTTATTCTACCAATTGCAACCGCAAGTGTAGAAAGAGCATTTTTAGCTTTGAGTTATATTAAGAACAAGTTTTGAAGTCGAATTGGTGATCAGTTTACTAATGATTGTTTAGTGGGATACACTGAAAGAGACTTGCTTAAGAGTGCAGACAACAATTGTTTATGCGTTTCTTTCACAATAGGAAATCTCGTCGTGGTTGTTTATAAAAACAATGATTGTATTAGTCGGTTATTTATTATCTATGAATGAATTATTTGGATATAATTATTTTAATTAAATATTTATATATATTAATTATGAAAAGAGGACAAAGTTAGTTTCAAACGTTGCCTCCGCCACTGTATTTTGTGAGCTTATGAGCTATTTTTCATATTGTTAAGTGTTAAGTTATTTTTTAATCATTTGAAGTGAAGTAAAAGTGTTGTAAAACAACTCTTTCATTCATCATTTAGTATAAAAATGTTATTTATGCTTCTAATGTTTAAGCACGATTAGTCAACGACTAGGCGCTTAGCAAGACCCTAACACTTATTTTGCGTCTAGCGGCTTTTTGAACCTTGATTGTAAATATTTTAAGTTGTCGCCAGAAATAGAAATATATAATTTATCATTTTTACACACTTACAAAAAAGGTCAATCTATGAGTTTGAACATCATGCAGTATTTCAAACTATCGAGCAACCATCATTGTTATGGTGACTTCATTACTCGAACAAAATTTCGAGGCACTGGTGCTTGAGCTTCCCTCGTGGTTTCTTGGTCTGGTCATGATAAACCCTGGTTGTTCTGGCATGGGCAATTGTACGACATTACTAGTCAACATCGATATCACTTCTGACATTTCTGGCCTATCGTATGTGTTGTATTCTATACAGAGTAGTCCTACATTGATACATCTAAGTATCTGGTCTTTATAATTATTGGAACCCTCCATGGTTGGATCCATCAACTTTAATGGAGAACCTTCTTTCCACAACTTCCATGCCTACAAGTTTGCAAACAAGAGAGCAATTGGTTTTAGAAAATACCAATCTTTCTCCCTAAGGGAGTCTGAAGTTTAATGCATGTCATTTCTTCATACTCAACAAAATTTCAATAATAAGAATAGAGTTCATAACTTACATATTCCACGAGGTCGATCGGGGGATCCAATGGAATGAGGTTGTAATTCTTTTTGCCACTCACAATTTCTAGTAACATGACTCCAAAACTGAAGACATCAGATTTGGTAGAGAAAGTGCCTTTGATGGCATATTCCGGAGACATATACCCACTGCACAACATAATTCGAATATAAGATGCTAATTTCATGATAGTAAAGAAAATGGGAAAATAGAAACTAGGGGATGGCTTACTATGTTCCGACGGGCTTGGCTGTGTTGGCTTCCGAAGTATTTGTTTTGAAAATACGCGCCATCCCGAAATCCGAGATCTTTGGGTTAAGATTTTCATCGAGTAAAATATTACTAACTTTCAAATCTCTGTGTATAATTGTCACTCTCGAATACTTATGAAGGTACAACAAGCCTTGAGCAATTCCTTCAATGATGTTGAAACGCTTGTTCCAATCTAATTGTACTCTCTTTGTTTCGTCTGTGTTATGTGTTAAAGAGCCACAAGCACACAAACTTAGTGTCTTAACCTGAAAGGTTGAAACCTCTATAACCAAAAGAAAAGAAAGAGCAACATAAATTCGACTTACCAAAGATAAACGAATCCAAACTCTTGTTAGGCATATATTCATACACCAACATCTTTTCTTCTCCATGGATGCAACAACCTAGAAGCTTGACAAGGTTCCTGTGTTGTAACTTAGCTATGAGTACGAGCTCATTTCTAAACTCAACCAGCCCTTGGTCAGATAGTTTCGACAATCTCTTCACAGCTACTTCTCGTCCTTTCGACAATTTCCCCTGATACATAAAAAAATGTAAACCTATGCAAGTCATGTCTAGAAGTCCAAGTTGAAGCATACTTCTTGGCTACTATTGCTACAAGAAATGCAATGGGTGGATGAAAAGAATGATCACCTTGTATACAGGTCCAAAACCTCCCTCTCCAAGCTTGTTTTGCGGGGAAAAGCTATCTGTAGCGATCATGATAGACGCTGCACTATAGATTTTCAAATTGTGGCTCTGATCACCATCATCACCCATCTCATCTCCATCACTCGGTGCATTAGTGGCCATCAACTCTGCTAAAAGCCTCTCTGCACACAAAAAGATAACCTGAGAAGATCACAAATCAATTCAATGTCAAGATACAATAAGACTCTGTAGCATCAACAGATCACCGAACCTCTAAGCTTGCGCCTTCTCTGGTACCAGAAAATGCTGAGGGTGAATATCAGCATAGCCACGGCCGCAGTCACGGAAACCGCTATCCACTTAATCCGAGATGCATCTGGAGATCAAACAACACCAACAGCGTTCTTAAGCAATTGATTGAAAAAACAGGGGAAGTGGGAAATCAATTAGAGCTTTATAGCTTTACTTACTCGAAGTATCGGCTTGACGTCCTCCGGCGACAATAACATGATACCGGTCTTCTCCTGCCTGATTCGGCAATTGTACGAATCCGCCGGACCTGAAATACCGACATCCGGTGCCATTACGGTTAACCCCATCCAAGCTAATCCCGCCACACTCACAGTTTCTCCAGCATTGTTCCTTGCAATCGCTGATGCTCAGGTTACTATTCTCATCCACCCATTGACCCAAACTAAACGTGCCCCACAGAATCTGGAAACCATCGCCGCTCCGGCGGCAGTCCGGGCCGTCCCATCTCCGGCACCCATTCTCCGTCCCATTCCCGTGGCAATCCTCACTCTGCAGAATCACAATCCTTGTACTCACATCCTCAGCCACGCCATCGTACCTCAATCGCACTACCGTGAAGCTCAGTTGGTTGGCGGAGCTGTAGTCGTTGGTGGAAGCCCTTAACGTCAGGTAATCGGAGTTGGGGCCGGCGACGACTCGGGACACGTTGTAATTTACCCTCTGCAGCCTGAGGTCTAGATTCGTGAACCGGTTGGGGGTCAATTGCTTGCCGCTGGTCCAGAACGTCACGCCTCTGTGCTTCATCACCAATTCTTCCTTCCCGGCTGTCGGGTCCCACTCCAGCGTGAAAGCCCCCGCTGCCGGGATGGACTCGGTCAGCCATGACGTCACCTTCCTGTTCTCCCCGCCGACGAGGCCTAATTTCATCCCGGGAAACCACGCATTCGTTGGGGAGTCGAAGCTCTGCCATAGCAAATCCCCTGAATCGACGTCGCTCACTGCGAAATTGCCCGTGTCATCGAGCGTTGCGATCAGTCTCCTCTGCCGGCTGTCAGAGTAGAGATTGACTGCGGCGCCGCCGCCGGAGTAGGTGAGCCTCAACGTGCCATTTTGGTCAAGGGCGAGCGATCCTGAACCGTCGCGAATCGCGGAGTCTCGGTTGGCTACCCAGAAGAAGCTGCTCGTCGCATTGATGTACCAGATCCCGAGGTAGCTTCCTACCGCGGACCGCCGGAAGCCCAACGTGAAGAGGCCGTTGGGAGAGACCAAGCTGGCGGATGAGTTGAGAACTGGGCCGCCTTGGGTGAGAGTGTTGGCAGCGAGAGAAGAAGGAGGAATGGAAAACAGCAGCAGAACTGTTGGGACGAGAATGGAGAGGTTTCTCTGGGCTGCTGCCGCCATTGGAATGAGATCTCACGCAGAGCTTTAATTAGAAAGGAAATGTGAAGGGTTTTCGGTTTCCACAATGGTCAACGAGTTGCAGAGAATTAGATGTTTGTTATCTCCTAGCGCTAGCAGTCGGTTGCTTAAAATAAGATAAGAGAGTAATCAACGTATATTATTGTGTTGATAAATATGTGTCGATTATCCAAACAGTCAGATTGCCACAGTCGGCCGGCTGCGCAAACAGGTCAGGACGAAGAACGTTACTGTAAGGGTTTTGCTGGAAGCCAGGTGTCGTGACTCATGATTGGGCCCGGCTCAATTTTGACTAACTCAATTTTCCACAGGCTCGAATCAAAAGTTAACATTGGACAAATCATTTTGGATGGGCCAGAATGAAATACATATAGTGGTCCAATAACTTAAATCTAATATTCTTTCTCCCAAATATAATTTTGGCCCAGAATAATTAATTACGTGAACCCATTAGCCATTAGCCCATTACCCATCAACAAAATTTCATCTCCCGACAACACCTTGATTTCGGTTCAATAAAGAAACAATCAAGTGATATAAAATTAACTAAGGAGTCGTTTTGAGGTTGGGATTTCAAGCGATATATTTAGCCAATGCATGTAATGTTAAGAATAAGTCATTTTTCTGGTTAAATTTGTGTCAAAATACATGCATTACCTTTTTCTGGGCACACCCACAATCACTTAAAATGAGTGATTATCAATCTCTACTAAAATGCATGGTCCATGAAACCGTATCGTACCGGTGGTTCAACCATAAAATACAAGTATCGGAGGCTAAACCGGTAGGCGGTATTTAACGGTATGAACGGTTGAACTACGCTTAAACCACGGTTTTGTCATAAAATACCCTACCGCTGACTTTTCCGGTACGGTGTCCGGTACGGTTTCATGGACCATGTTAAAATGTGAGATTGTGACCAAGGAATTAACTACTCTCTACTTTTTTATTTATAACAAAGCACAATTAAAACCTCCAAACAAGGTATTTTTCAAATTCATACATTTAATTAATACATCAAATTACAATAAACAAATTGATTAAATACTTCAATTTGGAGAATCCCAACCTCCAAACAACCCCTAAATGGCTCTATTCCCATAATGGAAAGGATGCATACTTGAAAAGTTAATGATTTAGGATTCAATGACTAACCATTATAATATTGAAGGTTAATCATTTATGTAACGATTCATACATTCTAAATCGATGAGATGTATAAAGCACACTATTTTATGGCTCAATTTGTCACAAATCAAAAATAATTTCAAATTAATATCATTCGTCTCAAAAAGTCTCGCATCATAAACAAATTTAATAAGTTCTGATAGAGCACTCAAATTGTCTCGCATCATAAACAAATTTAATAAATTCATATTAGTAATTAGGGTGTCAGTCCATAATGTAACTCATAAATCAAACAAGGAGACTAGAAAACAAATAAAGGGAGTTCAAAATGAAAATAGAGTTATATGGGGTTTCTTTTGTTGTATATATGCACACATAGGCTTTTCTTTTTTCATATTTCTTTCCCCCATTAGCCTTGCTCTCTTACAACATACAAAAGGTTAGGGTGCTAACCCCTAATATGTTAGCATGGTGCTAACACTAGTTTCAACCAATATGAACATTCATTTTGATAACTTCTTTTATTCTGAGAGATTGGCCACAATTATGCGAATTTATAAAAAAAAGGAACACACTTGGCATGTTTTAAAATTAGGGGAGAGGCACACGCGTGTGACGTTATGCATTAATTTCGCGTCCCATGCCTCACTTCAACTATCATGAAGTAGACCACAAAAACATAGGAGAAACATAACAAATCATACCACAAAAAACCACAAAACATAAAAAAGAACTTATAATGTATATCATAACCTCACGACACCACAAAACTAAAAAAGCATACCAGAAAACTCAAAGCAGACCACAAGTTTCCTGAACAAGACAAGAAATTTCATAAAGCATACCACAAGTTTATTAAAGAAGACCACAACTTTTCTTAAAACAGACCACGAGTTCATTGAAGCAGACTAGAAACCTCATAAAGCATAACATAATGTTTGTTAACTAAAGCTTGGGATGACAATGGGGTGAATTTCTCTAAATCATCCTCATCCCGATTTCCAAATACTCAAACCTATAGCCGCCCTAAACCCATACATGGGAGTATTGCAGCCCAATACCCACGATTTTTGGGTCACCGTGGCAATACCTGCCCCGTATTCCAATATTACTATACCTAGAATTCATTAATTCAACATATAGACCTTCAGTTATAACACTAAACGGACCTAATAAGTCACGAAATCAACAAAATTACAACCACTCTTAATACGAACTCAAAAAATCCAATCTTAAAACATCCATTAATGCATTAAAAAAGTACAATAATATTCGAATAATTTATCTCTGACTAAAGGACATCTACTAAGCCATAAATAACTAGCATAACCTTGTTAACAAGAGGAAAGAAGTGAAAGAGTGAAGGGTGAATGGAGGGAAAGACATCCATGTTTGATTTGAATGACCATGCTCTTTATTTTTTTGAATTACCATTCCTATCTTTGAGAGATTAAAATGTGAACCACATATTTTTTCATGCAAAGACATACTATTGTGGGGCAGGTACGTATATGGGGCGGAGACCCTTAAACCAAACCCGCCCCATCCCTATCAAACTTTTCACCCATACCTCTTGTAATTGCGGAGATTCCCTTCGTTGACTGGGTCAGAGACGGTCGGATACCCACTTTCAGGGGCGGAGGTACATTGGAGGTAGGGTGGGCCCCGGCCCCCCCGGGATTGGTCCCGACCCCTAGTACCTTAAGTATATTTAGTGAAAATTTTATAAGTACAGCTTGTTCTGTAAACTTTGTTAAATAATAGCTTCTGGTCTAATGGTAACAAACATTGACTTTGTATATTAACTTACATGGGTTCAATTCCCATCTACCACATATATTTTGCTTAACTCAGTTTTTATACTTTCATTAACGGAAATCCCAGCCCCATTTATTACTTTAATAATTCCAAGTCCCAACTTAATCTCCATCTTTCCCATGTCCCCAAACCAAACGGAAATCCCATCCCCCATTTATTATTTTAATAATTCCATCTCTCCCATGTCCCCAAACCAAACGGAAATACCATCCCCCATTTATTATTTTAATAATTCCAAGTCCCAACTTGAAATGGAAAAACAAATCCTTATTTATTATCCAACCTAAAAAGCCTAACCCTAGTCTGTTAGTCTCCTCTCCCGTTCATATTACTGTTGTCTTTCTTCCTCTGCTAAAAGAGTGGTCTTTCTTCCTCTGCTACAACCTACAAGCGGGCCAATTAGCAATTGGGGTATGTGAAAAAAGAAGTATATCATCTCCAAATCAACGTGAATAAGAAGCCAATACTTTGTCCTTAGCTGCAGCTTTTACAGTCCACTTTTCTCCAAGATCATTAACAAGTCGGGTAAGTGTAAGTCTAAACAAGTTCTGATTTTGTTCTGTTTTTTTACGTTTTGGCATACAAATACAATATAATTCTTCTCCAGTTTTTTTTGGACCAATACAATATAGTTCTGATTTTTTTTCTTTTACTGTTTTTGTTACTGTTTTGCTTTCGGCTCCAATTTGTGTAATCTTTTCAAATGTTATTCTCTATATAATAATAGCATCTTATGTTTTTCAGTGAATATGAAGAGGAAGCAAAATACGATTGATTCTTTTTATAAGAAAAAGGAAGTGTTACAAGCTGAAAATCTTTTACAAAGCGAACAAGTAAAAAATGTGGAAGAAGAAGTAGAAGAAGAGGAGGAGCAAGAAGAAATCCCTAGTTCAAGAGTTAAGGATCCATCTTTTGCTATAGTGGAACGAGATCCCGGTTTGCGAAATCCAATTTGGACATATCCGCATGGCAAACAGGACGAGATTAGGCGAGCATATTTGACATCCGGTCCTCACCAAGTTCGACTTCCAAAATTTCCCAAGACTCGATTTGGTGATCATCTTCGCAGCTTTCAAGCCTCATGGTACAAAGAATTTCCTTGGATTGAATATTCAGAAACAAAAGACGCTGTTTATTGTCTACCATGTTATCTCTTTGCGGAAAAGCCGATCGCTGAATCTGGTTGGGATGTATTTACGAATGGAGGTTTTCGAAATTGGAAAAAGGTTCATGGAAAGGATTGTTCTTTCCGAAAACATATTGGGGACAAACCGAATTCTCATCACAATAATGCTGTGAGAAAACGTGATGCTTTGCTAGAACAATCTGGGCACATTGACAAAGCGATGGAGAGACAAACCTCTGAAGAAGTGAAGAAGAATATACTTCGGGTGAAATCTTCAATACAGGTTGCTCGTTTGTTAGCGTTGCAAGGGCATGCTTTTAGAGGCCATGATGAGTCTATTGAGTCAACTAATCGGGGCAACTTTATCGAGCATCTTCAATTTTTAGCCGATAACAATGAAGAAATAGATAGTGTGGTATTGGATAATGCTCCACTGAATGCGAAGTACATATCGCCTGAGATTCAGAAGCAAATTCTGCATGTCTTGGCTAAGAAGGTAAGGACCCATATCTTTGAAGAAGTTGGAGATTCTAAATTTTCAATAATTGTGGATGAGGCAAGTGATGAAAGCAATCATGAACAAATGGCGATTGTTCTTCGCTTCGTTGATGCTAAAGGGTTGATACAAGAGCGCTTCTTTGATATTGTTCATGTGGAAGATACAACATCAAAGACTTTGTATTCTGCAATCCGCTCAGCTCTTTCTTTCTATAAGTTCCCAATTCAAAATCTTCGCGGACAAGGATATGATGGTGCTAGTAACATGCGTGGTGAGTGGAATGGATTGCAGGCATTATTTTTGAAGGACTCTCCTCAAGCATATTATGTACACTGTATGGCTCACCGTCTTCAGTTATCATTAGTTGCAGCTGCTAGAGATGTATTTTGGGTTCATGAGTTTTTCACATTCTTATCAAGCATCGTAACTGCTGTTACTGGATCTTGTAAGCGCCAAGGTCAGTTAGAAGCTGCAGAAGCATCTAAAATTGCACTTCAGCTAGCGACAGGTGAAATTGAGACAGGAAAAGGTGCTAATCAGGTTAGTACTTTACAACGACCTAGTGATACCCGTTGGAGTTCACATTTGAGATCTATATCTAATCTTATCAGGTTGTATGGTTCAACTTGTAAAGTTTTGGAGAACATAATGAATGACGGAAGTAGCTCCAAAATCAAATGGGATGCTACTACAGCTTTAGAAAGAATGAAGTCATTCGATTTCGTCTTCAATTTGTTTATGATGAAGAAAATATTGGGCATCACTGACATGCTTTGTGTAGCTTTGCAACGAAAGTCTCAAGACATTCTCAATGCAATTAGATTGGTGGACTCTACAAAAAAACTCTTGACCGAAGTGAGGGAGAAAGAGTGGGATTCTTTGCTTGCTGATGTCAATGCATTTTGCAAGCAACATGATATTGAGGCTCCTGATCTTAGTGCTCCATTTTTCAGAGGTCGATCTATTCGAAAGCGAGATGTTACAAACGAACATCATTACCATTATGATGTATTCAATGCTGCAATTGATGTTCAGATTGCCGAACTAGAGTCAAGGTTTAATGATAGAGTGGTGGAACTACTGAAGTTGAGCTCAAGTTTGGTTCCTAAAGATGGGTATAAGACGTTCGACATTGCTGCTATCTGTAAGCTTGCAAAGGAGTATTATCCTCTTGATTTTTCAGAAGAGGAAATGGATACATTAGAGTTCCAGTTGGGGCTTTTTCGAATTGAAATTCCTAACCATTCTTCTTTGCAGAAGCTATCGTCTATTTCTGAGTTATGTCAGGGATTAGCAAAGACAGAGTTGTCAAAGGACTTCTATCTTGTTGACAGGCTGATTCGTCTTCTCCTCACTCTTCCAGTTTCTACTGCTACAGGTGAACGTGCATTTTTGGCTATGAAGATAGTGAAGAATAGACTGCGAAACAAGATGAATGATGAATTTCTTGCTGATAGTTTAGTTATTTATATTGAAAGAGTGATAGCTAAAAGTTTTAGTTTAGATGCTATTTTGAGTGATTTCAATGATCTCAAAGAACGTCGTGTACTTCTTAAATAATTATAAAATAATATCTTAATTTTTTATTTATTTATTTTTCGGCCCCCCCGGTCTCGAAATCCTGGCTCCGCCCCTGCCCACTTTGGTTGTCATCCCTAATTAAAGCATACCACAAATTTTCTTATAGCATACCTGAAACATCATAAAACACACCACAAGTTTCATGAAGCATACCATAATTCTCATAAAGCAGACCACAAATTTATTAATGCAAACCACAAAGTTTCTTAAACGAAAAGAGAAGCCTCATAAAGCATACCTCATGTTTTTAAAGAATACGAGTAACCTCCTCATAAACTTGGACTGTTTATCAATTTTAAAATGTTTACGTATCAAAATGTAATATATAAATTTTTTGGGTATAAGGTGTAGTTTTTTTTTATACATAAAATGATTATGTAAAATCTTTATAAACTGCAATCTAATATACAAAATTGTCACCATGATTATGCAATCAAATACATAAAATGATACCAGCAACATAAATTGATCAATTTCCTAATCTCTAATTTAATTTTTTTTTTTATAATATACAAAAATCAGTCCTCCTTATAACTCGAAAGATCTTTTTTAACTCGACATACTTACTCTCCACAGAACAATATAAAGGAGCAAAAGAGAAACTACCAAGCATTTACTCTCTGCGAATAAACTACTAATCAACGGGTGGAAAGAACAGATGATTTACTCTCTACGAAGAAAAGTTTTTGGACATCATTTGTATTTTTATAATATGAATAATTTAGCTTATTTTAGTTTATTTTGTTTGAGAAACTGAGCTCATGAGGGAGTGACCGCCGTCGACCAGAAGATTGATCCCGCTGATGTATCTGGAGTCGTCACTCACAAGATTCAACGCCGCCATGGCAATGTCGTCGGCCCTCAGGCCTCAACACAACTCCCTTGAGGTTCCCTTTGGCCTCGTACGCCGCCTCATCCATCCCCGTGGCGTCCATGCTCAGCCGGGTCGGCACCCCATACGGCGAGATGCAGTTGACCCGTATCCCCAACGGCCCTAGCTCCACGCACAGGTTCTTCGTCAGCCCCACCACCGCGTGCTTCGACGCCACGTAGGCGTGTGGGGCCATCCCGTAGCTGGCCGTCACGACGCTGCCGGTCAGGAGGATGGCCCCTCCGTTGCCGCCCTTCTCCATCACCCTGGCCGCGTGCTTGGCGGCCAGGAACGAAACGTTCCGTAGACGTTGACGTCGAACACCTTCCTGAAGATTTCGGGGTTGAGGATCAGCTGACGCAGCCATTGAAGTGAGATTTGGTGCTTTGAGTTTTGATCATGCAGACACTAAACGACTAAGATAAGCTAACCTAAGCTGGAAGGTGACAGGAAAATCTTTTTAAATTCGATTATAAAAATCAGTCAACAAATTAGGACTACAAGAGGACAAGACCTATGTCTCTCCCCCAGTATTATTATAGTTTATCAGATTTGAGAAATCAATTTCAGGTCTTCACATGCATGCTGCACATGTACAGAAAACCATTTCATTATTCCTACACAATTCCTTTTCGATCACTCCAAAATTCTTTCCGGAATTGGCGGAGAGACGCATATTTATATTTTTGGATCGTGAGTCTTGCCAGAAACACACAAGGATGCCGACGAGAAATTGTTTTCTTTTTCTAACCACAATTAATTATACTTGGTAACCTGACGCACAATTGTCAATGTGTCTTGATTGCAGCTATTTAGCCCGTATTCACATTGAGGAAACTCTTTAGTTTACATAACAACTTGTATCAGGATTTTCTTTATGGATTTGAACAGTGAATGTGATATTTATGCAGAGAACAAGATTAACGACAATAATAGGCAGTAACGGGTGGGGATATCTAGCCTTTGACTTCCTCTGTATATCTCTAGTTACCGAGCAATGATCTTTGTTATCGTAAATTCATTGCTTGACCAGAATTCCGAGCCACTGGTGCTCGAACTCGCCTCCTTCTCTCGCAGTCTTGTCATTGTGAACCCTGGCTGTTCTGGTATGGGTAATTGCGAGACTTCACTGGTTAGCATCGAAATCACCTCTGACATTTCCGGCCTATCAATTGCATTGTATTCCATGCAGAGCAGACCTATATTGATGCATCTGAGTATCTGATCTTTAGAGTTACAAGAATCTTCCAAGGCAGGATCCATTAATTGTAACGGGGAACCTTCCTTCCACAGGTTCCATGCCTGCATATTCGCAACAAGGAGAACAATTGGCTTCAGGAAAGGCCTCCTCCAAACTTGGTCATTAGTTAACTCGAAAAAATTGTAAAATATGAAAAAGCTTACATATTCTGCAAGGTCGACCGGGGGGTCTAGTTGAATGAGATCGTAGTTCTTCCTCCCGCTCACGATCTCCAATAACATAACTCCGAAACTGAAGACATCCGATTTCGTAGAGAAAGTGCCCTTTATGGCATACTCGGGAGACATATAGCCACTGTACCATGTAATGTAAGTTGCTAGATATGGACAAGTGAGAATAGACGAAGACTTGAAATTTGGGGAGAAGACTTACTATGTTCCAACGGGCTTGAGTGTGTTAGCTTCTGACACGTTTGTTTTGAATATGCGCGCCATTCCAAAATCTGAGATCTTTGAGTTCATATTTTCATCTAGCAATATATTGCTAACTTTCAAATCTCTATGTATGATCGTGAGTCTTGAATACTTGTGAAGGTATAGTAACCCTTGAGCTACCCCTTCAATGATGTTGAACCGCTTGGTCCAATCTAATCGTAACCTCTCTGATTCATCTGTTTGTGTGTTGAATAGGCACCAGCTCACAAACTTTAGTAGTGTCACAAGAAAGAAAGATCGAAATACTTGATTACAATGTACTTAATTAACATACTTTCGACTTACCAAAGAGAAAAGAATCCAAACTCTTGTTGGGCATATATTCGTACACCAACATCTTCTCTTCTCCATGAATGCAACAACCCAGAAGTCTTACAAGGTTCCTGTGTTGTAACTTGGCTATGAGGATAAGCTCATTCTTAAACTCAACTAAGCCCTGGCCGGATCTTTTCGACAATCTCTTTACCGCTACTTCTCGTCCGTCTGACAACTTTCCCTGAGATATATTGACGATAAATGATGATTGAATAAATGTACTATCTACTTATATGTTAGAAATCAACACTTTCTTTTTCAGATTTGATCGAAGCTTAAATTACCTTATATACAGGTCCGAAACCTCCTTCTCCGAGCTTATTTTGCAGGGAGAAATTGCCTGTAGCAATCATGATTGATCCTATTGTATAAACTTTCAACTGATCTAGTCCTTGATGACGTCCATCATCTTCCACCTTATCTACGTCGTTGGGCGCATCAGGTGCCATGAACTCTGCTAGAACCCTCTCTACAGATTACCATAAGAAGATGGACACATTAACAACAAGGAAGAACTTACACTTTAGAGAGAGGAATACAGAGTTCACAAACCTCTGAGTTTTTGCCTTCTCCGGTACCAAAAAATGCAGACAATGACGATTGAAAGAGCCCCTGCTACAGCAGCCGAAACCCATATCCAATGATTCTGTCCACGGTCACTTGTTCTCCCATCAACGTTTGACGGTGATCTTCCTCCGCCGTTAGCTCCACCAACAATGACGTGAAAGTATTCCGTCGTCGGCCCAGAAACTTCCTCAAATCCCCCATACAGAAGCGTACATCCGGTCTCGTTATGATCCCCACTGCCATTCATTACGCTCCCAACGCACTCACAATCCTTCCAGCACTTGTCTTTGCAATCACTGATACTAAGACTGCCATTTCGGTCCGCCAAACTCTCCTTGAACCTTCCCCCGCGGATCACGAACTTGTCGCCGCCGTTCTCCCTCCGGCAAGCCGGTCCTTCCCATCTCCGGCACCCGTTGGCAGTGTTGTTCCCGTCGCAGGCTTGTGGGTCCATTACAGTCACCGGGATTGTCCCGGTTTTGACCTGAATCTCGCCGTCAAATCTCAAATGCAGAGCGCTGAATTGAGAAACAGAGAAGGTCAAGTAATCCTCGCCGCCGGGAGGGTTCGAGAAGCGGGAAACGTTGAAATTCATCAACCCCTTTCCTCCTAGGTCGAGATTTTGGAATTTATTGGGCGCCAATAGCTTGCCGCTGGTCCAGAATACAACCCCTCGCCGCTTCATCACCAGCTCTTCCTTACCGGCGGTCGGGTCCCACTCCAGCGTGTAAGGCCCCGGCACCGCGGTCTGATAGCTCAGCCATGACGTCAACTTCCGGTGTCGACTCTGACTACCGCTCCGGCTTTTGAAAACCCCCAATTTCATCCCCGGGAACCACGAATCCGGCGAGAAATCGAAACTCTGCCACAGAGGATCGACGCTGGAATCGATCACGGCGAAGTTGCCGGTGTCGTCCAGCACGGCGGTCAAATTCTGACGGCGGATTTCAGAGGAGTAGAGCTCGAAGGTGCGGCCGCCGGAGTAGGTGATCTTTATTGTCCCGTTTTGGTCCAGAGACAGGGATTCTGAATCATCGAGGATGGGGAAGTCTCTGTTGGCTATCCAGGGGAAGGAGTTGGAGCTATTGTCCCAGATCCCGAGGTAGCTTCCGTTGGTGTCGGCGGATGGGATCGGCCGGAAGCCTAATGTGAAGAAGCCGTTGGGAGAGACGAGGGTGGCAGAGGAATTGACTGCTGGGCCGCCTTGGGTGAGAGTATTAGTAGCAGCCAGAGAATGGGGGAACAACACCAGTAGAATGGTGGAGAGGGAAAGGGGAAGAAGAAGAAGAAGAAGAAGGACTTTGCCTTCTGATGATGAGCTGCTTTTTCCAGGTTTAGCAGCCATGGAAGAATGGGATTCGGAGCTTTTTGTTCAGCAAGATTGTGACCTTGTGGAAGTACAGAGTATGAAGGAAGATGAAGGTTTTTGTCAGAAAATGGTCAACTAATGAGTGACGACAAGATCCGTCGTCGCCCCATGTATTAATTTTTGCTAATTTTATTATGAATATTATTGAGATTATTATTCATTCAAAAATAATATTATCGGATTACACAAATGCACATGCTGAGAAAAACAATTATATTCTTACCCAAAAAAAAAAAACAATTATTGCTTCGTATACACTCATATATTCCTGACCTTAAGGTTTATTTTATACTCTCAATTTTCCCGCCAAATGATCTTTTTTTTTTTACATTTTCTTTTGCAGACCATTTAAGCATCTCTTTGGGGCTTGGGCTCAATTTGGTGTCTCTTCAGCCCAATTCGTTCTCTCGACCAGTAGCAAGGACAAAGCAGTTGCAGCAGAGGCTGAGTGCAGCCTTCAGCTCCAGAGATCAATCGAGAGATAAAGAGGAAACAACCGAACAACAAGGTCGACAACGGCGAACACGAATGATGACGACTAGCTGCCGTACAGGTACCGGCACCAGGGAACTGATTGAAATCTAGTGGAGGGAAACATGCATAGCTGCAAATCCAGAACATAATAGAACATTTGGCCACATTTCATTAAAAAAAATTAGATACGGTAACAAAAACTATAATAATCATGCAATTGCCAATTATGCAAGTGATAATAACTAAGTTTAAGGAGTGATAATAAGCGGCTATTCAAGGGAAGAAGGTGTTGTATTTTGACACCATAAGTCCATAACCGGAGTAGCCAATAAATTCCACTCTACAACTACAAGGTGGAGTTTTCAAATATGTGAGCCATGCGGATTTAGCTCCCTCTTTTTTTAAAAAAAAAATAATAAACAATAGATGTGATAAATTCAAAATGACTGAGATTTGGTTTTCAAATACATGAAGCGAATGGCCCCTAACACTAAAAAAATATATGTGGATCATATATGTTTGTAAAATCCACCTCGGGATGACGCAACGGTAACTTTAACCTTTTACATGAAGTGGAATGTTGGAGCATTTCTATGGCAATAGAGAACATATATTAAAATTCATATTACCGACCACTTATCGTTGTCATGGTGACTTCATTGATTGAACGGGTTGATGGTGCTTGAGCTACTCTCTGTGCTAACGCTTCTCGGTCTAGTTACTGTGACTGCTGGTTGTTTTGGTGGGGGTAATTGTGTGATTTAACTTGTTAGCATTGTTATTACACCTGACATCGTTGGTCTATTGTTGGGCATGTGACTCGGACCTAGCTGTGCAAGGCAGGACACGCCGACTACACCACCATCAACAAAGTATGCCCGGGAGACCCTTATCCCCTGCCACGCATCGACCAGCTGATCGACGCAACCGCCGACCATGAGACATTG